ATGCAAATGAGTGTTTACAGTCAAATATAATTTCGATGGCTCTTTAGACGGTACAAAGCTCAACTGTTTTTCAAAAGATTCATTCAAACCTACAACATTAATTACTTCACATTAGCCCCAGTAGCAAAACTAAACTCTGTAAGAGTTCTTTTGTCAGTTGCAGAATCTTAATTGGTCCCTTTAACAGTTATAACACATGCATTTCTCAGTGAGGACTTACAGGATGAAGTGTAAATGGATGCAACTTCAAGATTTAGTGAAAAATTTGGCCCAATGATGTGTAAACTAAAAGGGTCGCCATACAAGTTGAAGCAGTCACTTAGAGTGTGGTTAGAAAAACTTAAACGGTTAGTTAAAGGTTGAAGATATCGTTGTAGATACATATACTGATTGTATATGTGAACAATATAATTCTTACCAGAGATAAGAGATATGAAATGAACTCGTTGAAAAATTCCCTATCATCAGTTTTTTAGATCAAGAAATTAGAATTTGTGAGGTATTTTCTTGGTATGGAGGTCGCTAGATCGAAGAAAGGGATTGTTGTTCCCCAATGGTATGTTCTTGACCTTCTAAGGAAAACAGAGATGAGTGGTTGTAGGATTGCAGACACTTCAGTTGATCCCAATCAAAAATAGGAAGAAGAGGAGGGCAACCTAGTAAATATAGCTCGATATCAACAGTTGGTGGGAAAGTTGATATACTTGTCACATACACGGCTAGATATCACCTTGTTATAAGTTTGGTAAGTCAATTTATGCATTCTCCATCGAAAAAATAACTTAAAGTAGTTAACAGAATTGTCAAATATCTAAAAAGTACACCATGTAAGGGTTTACTTTTTCAGAAAACCACACAACAAAACATCAAGGCATACGATGATGCAGATTGGCAAGGCTCAATTGTTGACAAGAAATCGACGTCCATATATTGTACTTATGTCTAGGGAAATCTAGTTACATGGTGAAGCAAGAAAAAAAATGTAGTGGCAAGAACTGGTGTTGACATAGAATATCAAGTTATGGCTAATCAAGCATGTGAGATATTATGGTTGAAGACAATTATTTAAGAGCAACATATCCCAAAAAATATGTCAATTAAATTGTGTTATGAAAACAAAACTGTTATAAGCATTGTAAAAAATCCAATGCAACATAATCGCACAAAACATGTGAAGATTGTTAGACACTTCATAAAATATAAGATTGATTGTGGAGCTATTTGCATGTCTTTCGCTCTGAAAACACAAGAAATACAAATATCTTCACCAAATGACTTTTTAGGCCTAATTTTAAGTTCCTTGTAAGTAAGTTGGGAATGATAGATATCTATGCTCCAACTTGAGAGGAGGTGCTGGATTTTTTAGGAAGATTCTTTTTAGTAGCTTCTATTATTAGTATTTTCTATTTTTATGATTCGGAAATATTGGTATGTCATAATCCTGATTTCTTTCTTTTATGATGGAGAGTTATGGCTGATTTTATTGCTTTCTTAATATGGGAGTCATCCCCCTATAAATATCTTGTACTTGTTTTCTATGAAATTGAGAAGGAATAATTATTTTTGTACTCTCAAAACCAATAAAAACAAATTAAAATCACTACCTTCCTTTCGATAGAATCCTTTCACCAAAACATTGTTCTGCATCTTTTATCTGTCAGATGCTTTTTCCATCTTGAAAATTAATTTATTCTACAATTTTCCTCTTATCCTTTAGTACCTTAATTAATATCCAGGCATCCTTTTTATATTAGGAGTCCATCACCTTTTTTATTACAAGCTCTCCCAAGAGAACCTTCAACATACATTGCTACTTCAAAACCCGATTCACCAACATCAAGAAGTAATAAACAATTTAAGGAAAATATTTATGAGTAGTTTTAAAAAATATTTGAGATTTCTCAGCTCAATCATAGGCTTGCTTGGCTCTATATCTCGATGTTGTAAGTCATTTGATTACTATATTGTACATCATCTTCAAAAACGCATCTCAACTTTAACGGGTTCACTTGTGAAGGCATGCTTCCTGGTATTGCTAAATTTAAATTTGAGCATGATAATTTTAAGGAATTCAGTAATTCTACTTGTGAATATCTTCAATGTTTTTAATCCAAAAATCTATATATAAAATCATTAACTCATTTCTAATGAAATGACACTAATAGATTTGGGGTAAAGCTCATATATATCAATCTAATCATTATGGGCATAAGAAAGATAGCCAAAATCCTTCAAATTCAAAAAGTTTAACTCTTCGACAATCCAAATGTTTTCTGTAATTTATGATATAAAATAATTAAAGATCCCGTATTAGTTAGATATAGGTCAGCACTACTGAAGTCCATCTTGGATAACAACAAACTTGTAGCCCTTTCATTTAAGTGTTTTTTATCCTCTCCAATAATGCACAAAATTCGCCATACTCTTTGTTGTCATGCTCTCCTCAAATTATCTTATCTCAAGCACTTTATCTTTACACCAAATTCTATCTCAACCCGAATTTCCATCTATTGAAAACAAATAAATAAATTAATTTTATTTTTTTAGAAAATGAACCCATGTATTTATAGTGGAGTCATTGATAAAAATAACAAAGCAATGAAAGCCACCAAAGAGATACCAATAAAGATGGTTTCTGCATAAACTTCAATTTTTTAGTTAGGGTTCCCTTAACGTATTTAAGAAATTACATTTTTCTTCTTTCCAAAAAAGTTAATTCTCAACAAAACTAGAATCCTAAAACTTCAAAGTTAAAAAAGTATTTCAGATGTTAAATTCATATCTCTGTCTGCAATCTAACCACAAACAAACATTAATGGTATCATACAAAATACTTGAGACAGGTACACGAACGTTGTTGTGCATATCTGTGAGTATATATGTAGGTGCATGAGCAGCCTATTCTTGTTTGCGACGGAGTATTCCTGTTTTTGGATAAAGTTTAGGTTGAATTCTACAAAAAAAAAAAAATAATAACATGAAAGGACCCTTCCATAACTATTCCATTTTCTAATAATCATATTAAATCAGAGAAACAAGTTAGTAATAATTTGCAAATGTTTACCGTAACTTCCACCTGAGTTGCCAAAGATAAGACAACAAACAGAAAAATAATGCAAATTCAGCAACATAGTAGTGGTAAATCAATCATTTTTAAGAAAAATCAATAGTTTGTCAAACAGATCAAAGTTTCTTCTGTCCTAGAAAGCTTTCAACTTTAATTAATAAGTAGCATTCAACGAAAAATAACCTGGGATAATCACCATACTTGGTATTCTGGCCAACTACCAAAACTAACACATCAAACAAGGTATGAAGCATGTAGCCACAGCCGCAGAAAAAATAATTGCTCCGTGCATGAAGGAGACCCAAATGACATTTGATATCAGAACAAGGGACTCTGAATGATAGCGTTCTAGAGCGACATTGACTTTCTTCTTTTGAGCTTCCCTAAATTTGCTAAACCAAACGCAAGCACTAAATTTAGGAGAATTGAGTGATAGTTCACCAAAAATAAATTCATTTTCAGCAATTATTGACTAAAATTTTATGATTTATGACATTTATTTAAGATAATCTTTCAGGTGGTCCCTACTCTTTGCAAAATAATTTGTTTTGTGAGAAAGTAAGCGATACTTGATATTGAATTTTAAAAATATCATCCTAAATCTTGGGACATGAAGAAGAGTTTATGATAGAACAGTTTTGCTGATTATTTTCATTACAGATTGTGGTTCAATTTATACAATAGCATGAAATTTTCAAGTTCAAAACTTGACAAAAAGTTGAAGAAAAATAAAACATATGCAGCTAAAAATTTTCATCCAGAAACAATTAAGTTCATCTGGTTAATAGTTCTGCACATTTACTTACAAGCATTAAAAGACGTGCAGCAGTTGAGCTTTAGTGGTAGTAGAAGTTCTTAAAACTTGGAGTGTTTCTCGCAATAACCTTTAAGCTTTCATTGCTGCTCACCAATTTATGATGAGGGAAAGTTAGAGTTATTAATTTCAACTTTTTAGTATTAGCAATGGCCTCCTAATTGCTCCAGTACTTAAGAATTTTGCTCTTTTTTGGAAAGGCACAAGTTCGAAGTCATATGATTGCAGAATTTCAGCTCAATATTCCAGGAAAAAGGAATAAATTAAGGATAGCTTCAACTTTTAAGTAAAAGTGCCAAAGCTTCAGCCTATTTCAATAGAAAATAAGGTTGAGAGTTAAATCCCTTTCCTATAAAAAAAAGAAAAAAAAACACAGAAAATTGGAACTTGAGATTTGCGTACCTACCACCAATAAAAGGTTGAATCCTCCATATCAACAAAACACAGAAAATTGGAACTTGTGATTTGCTTACATACCACCAAATTCTTGTGTTAATATATTAACCACCTCAACATCAATTTACCTACAAGCCACCCAACCTATGCTGAAAAGAAGGAATCGGGTGATCTGTACGTAAAAATTGAAATTTGGGTGGCTACTATGTTAATAGAAATTGGGCGGTGCATAAATAATGGCTTTTTTAAATTTTATTGAAAGTTAAGATTAATTACAACCATAGTTTACAGGGCCTTTTTTAATGAACCCTCCAGCCGACGGGACTACTATGTTTTAAAACATACAAAAGTAACCATGCAACGTGGCATCACATCACAACTGCATTTTGTATTAATTTTATTTATATAGGCGACGATTCAATTTTTCCGGTGAAATGTTACAACATCAAGCAAGCATCACTAATTTATTTAAGTATAATTGCTGAAGGATTATAGATTAGCTTATCTAATTTCCTTATACCTTGTCATTATAAGAATGCTTCACACTTACATAAAGAAAATTTCATAAATAACAAGTATTTAACATAATAAAAATGAGTAAGGATGGTATTGAAAGAATAAACGTTTAGAGCGTTTGGACTATTTTTAGCGAACATCAGAAATTGTACATTACTTATAATTTTTATGTCTGATAATAAGACAACAAATAGAGCAAGCATTTACCTCGAATCCAGCCGTATCATACTGCCTTCTTTTCTCTGGATCAGATAGGATGCTATATGAAAAAGCAACCTCCTTGAAAAGTTCTGAAGCTTCAGGATTACTGGCATTTTTATCAGGGTGATACCTGTTTTTTTTTATGTGAACATATCATGCGTATTAATTACAACATTCAAAGCTTTCAATAAACTAAAATAATAAAATATGGAGATGATGCATGGATACCAAATTGTTACAGGCAATATAATAAAAAAATGTAAGTCATTTGAGATGCTTGTATGGAAAATTGTTGAAGAATGTTATTGAGGAGAAAAACACACCACTAATAAACAAGGTCATGAGTGGCTCTGTTTTATTTTCATTTTCTAAAATAAAGGATTCATGTAGCCAACCCCACCTTATGGGATAAATGCTTGTTCTTGTTGTTGTTGTTCTAAAACAAATACAAATGTGAATAATAATCTAATTATTTTTTGTTTGTACAAAAAGGAATAAAAATCATGCTTGAGAATAGATAATAGAAAAGGCTATTAATTAAAAATCACCCGCTTGTACTTCCCTCTTTCCTCATGCTCTCATTGTTCCCCATTGGTTTCATAGTGAAATAAAATAACCAGATTACAAATAATAAATAAAGTCTACAACAGAATAAAACAAGGATTCCTTATTATATATCTTTTTTCCTCTCAATTTAAAGCATATAGTTGTCAATCTTTTCACTATCATATATTATTAAAATTTGCTCAATGAAGTCTACAACAAAAAGAATATCCCATTATCTGGCATATGTCCTCATCATTGACATGATTTGCAACCCACAGATTTGATCCACAATGAGCCTCCAACCAATCTTTGTATTGTCAATTCTCACTAATGTCAAAGGTATATCGGCTGCTTGCTCAGGCAACCACAACCTCAACTCATCGATTAAAAAAAAAATCAACTCATCCATGGCCTTCAACACTTATCATTGGCTAGTCTCCTCGTCCAATAATGTGGCTACCTCATCAGACCTCCCATCACCAAGCTCCTCTCATCAAAGCTGCCCACCTACCTACAATAAGCTCTCACCACTACATATTGATGTTTGATATTTGTTGGACTCTATTGCCCTCTTGAATCTACCTCAACCCAAAGGACTGAAGATCATCATGGTTTTCTCAGTCAATAAACACCACACAATTTTATAGAAGTTAGAGCATGTGGAATGGCAACAAAGAAGTTGAGATGATTAGGCCTGAGTTAGCAACAGGCATTGAGCAAACTTTAACCGGCAATTAATATCTGCTCTATCAAAAAAATCAAGGATTTATCCAAGGATTTTTCAACCCAATTCCTCTGTATTTACATATCTTACACCAAAATTTTACTTTTTATATTTATCCGACACAAATTTTGCACATCTCATAAAAAGTACCGCCATTTTAACTTTTAAAAGTGAAATACGCCTTTTCATGCATAAGTAAGATGGAAAGCATGTACAAATTGGTGTTAAATATGTGCAGCATAAGACTTAAGTATTATGTATGCAAATCTTCCTTCCAAAAAAAAAAGGCATTTGAAGAAGACTGCTAAATGATTTCTTAGTGCATATTGCAGAGGTATGCTTAAATTCTTTGAAGGTATACTAGCATATAGATCAGTTGACATCCAAAAAAGAAGCCATTTACCTCCAAATGCGGATATGACAAACTATGTCTTAACCTCTCAAAATCAATACATCATCTAACCAGAAAAAAAATGACAGACAACATGCTAAGAAGACAACCAGAACTGAGGCGATAACAATGTTGGGATGGATACATTTAGGACTTCGATCAATTAGAAATCAAAACCGCACTGCAGAATAAAAACATAATAATTCAAAAAATCGGGAACAAAATTTCAAATAAAAGCACAGCAAAAAACAATCCCATAAAAAAGCGCACCAATATTTACGTGAAAAACCCCGAGAATGACAAAAAAACACGGAGTCGTGCCACCAAGAAATTTCCACTATGAAGAACCAAAAATGTGTAGGAATACTAACCTGGATCTTCTTTCCAAAATCAATACAATTTATAGAACTTTACTCCAACCATTTCTCTCAATCACGCTAGAAAAGACCTCGTTGGAATCCTCCAAGATCATTTTCTACTTCACGAAAAAACTGTCGAGAATGCTGCACTCGAGATTGCAATCATTCATCCCTCGAATCGAAGACTTAAAAACTGAAACCAAAACCGGCAGCCTCAGCTGCGTAACAACGTTAAGTAGAGGTGTAAATATTTTGTGCACTCAGCAAGGAAGCAAATGATTTGAAATATCTCGACGTAGCTATGCCCATTGCATTGTGGTTACTCTGCCAGGCATAGCAATGCACGAATCAGGCATGGCTACGCCTAGACGGGCGCAGGGGCACCCACAAGGAGGCTTTGGTGTTTATGGTTGAGTTCCTGGGAGCTTCTTCAAGCTCCATTCCTCAACAATCTCCTACTTAGAGGCTGATAGCACCCAACACCTGTCCTCTAGATCTATACTTTCATTTGTATCTTCTTCATAGTCATGTTCTGTGGTGTGGCTCACCCCCGGTCTCAAACTTCCTGGATTTCAATTGAAGCCAAGCATAGCTCCATTTTATTGATAGTCACTGCCTTCGTCAATATGTCCGGACAAATGCTCATCTTCTAACAATGAAAATATAAAGTGATACCCAACTGAATATATTTTTTTCTGACATAAAAAGCAGCATTCTTAACAATATAAATGACACTTTTACTGTCACTATGAAATTTTTCAATTATCTGCTCCTTGCTCAATTCTATCTTAAAGCCCTATAGCCAAATTATCTCCGTGCTAGCCTCAATGATAGCAATATATTCAAGATTCATAGTTGTAACTGACTGCAACAATCTTCTGCAGTCTGGAAACCCAACTAACCATTTGTGTTCCGCAAAGAGAAGATATGCGCTATTGCACTCCTACCATCCAAATCTCCTACTATATCAGAAATTCCTGTAGAATGATCTTTGTACTTCCATAGCAGAGTGTCTTATTGATTATTGCCCTCAAATAATTGAGAACTCACGTCACTGTTTCCAAATTATATTTTCCTATATCACTTTTGTGGTCACTCTCATTGCATGTGCAATATCTGATCTGGTACAAATCATAGCATACATCAGACTTTTAACTGCTAAAGCATACAAATTTTTCCCCACATGTGCTTACCCTAATTCAAACTTGGAAATAATTTCTTAAATAGCTTGAAGTGACTACCTAAAACGGTGAACTGGTTTTGTCTCACCCATTTTGAGCATTTATAGAAACTTCTCAACATACTCTGTCTAAGACAACTTCAAAATACATGCACTCCAATCCCTACTTATTCTTATATCGAGGACCTTCTTAATTGGACCAAAATTTTTTATCTCGAACTCACTTGATAATTGCTCCTTTAAGTCCCTAATTTTATTTATATCTACCCCTAAAATTAGTATGTGATTTATATACAAAAGAAGCAAGATATAATAATTATCGAAGTGTTTTAAATAAGCAACAGTGACTGTCTGGCACTTCATGTACAGACTATCTGACATAAACCTCTCAAACCTCTTATACCACTATCTCAGAGCCTACTTCAAGTCTTAGATGCACTTCTTCAACCTATAGACCAAATTTTCTTTCCTTGGAAACCCGTAACACTACGGTTGCACCATATAAAGTTTCTCCTCATGATCTCCATATAAGTATGCTGTCTGTACATCTATCTGCTTTAGATGTAGATCTTACTCTACTACCAGACTCATCACAACTCTGATGCCTGTCATCTTCACCATAGGAGAAATAATTTCAGCATAGTTCATGATACACAAAAATAATATATTGTTTTAAGTATCTATTTTATGCTTCTTTTTTGTGATATTGCAATTTAAATAAATGTATTTTTGTGTTTTTGTTGCAGGTATATCATTTTTAGACATTTGGAGCAAAAATCATAAAAATGAAATTTGAAGCCAAAACAGCGAATTTTGAGATTATAGCGCATGATGCATTATGCGCCAAAATCCAGAGAATTGACACATGATGCGCTAGGGACGACTTTTTCAAATTAAGGCGGTTCGAGACAAATTTTGCGTGAATTTTAAAAAGGACATTTGTTCTACACCTCTTGGAGTAATTCAATGCATCTAGAACTTTGGAAGGTTCTTTTATGAAGGGATATGACTTTTAGATCAAATGACACACTTTTGAATTCAAGAGAGTTGACTCTTGGAGGGAATTTTGGAGGAAATTTTGAATTATTTTCCAAAAGTGGCAGCCCAAAATAAAAGAAGACTTGAAAGAGGCTTTTGGAGGTGTGTGGAGAGAGAGAGAGGGGGGCGTGAGTTAGAGATAGAGAGAGAAGAGATTTTCTTCTAGGGTTGTAAATGAAGAGGGAAGACGAGATTTTTCTTCTTCATTACACTTTTAAGAGAGAATTGGGAGCGATTGTAAAGAGAGAAAGACTTGGAGAGAGCTTTTAGGAATTTGCTTGGGAAGGATTGTTAGATAAGTTGTATTTTTATTTCTTTTGTTTTGTAAATTTATTTTTATATATGAAATTTGTGTTTTATCGTATCATTCTCATGAATTTTTAGTAGTCTTCTTTATTCTTCACTCTACTTTGAGATATGGTTTCGTGAAGAATAAATTTTATTTTCCACGGTTTTAGATGAAAATAATTTGTGATAATTTAAACTCCGATCTTCATTTATTTTTCGATCTGGCCAATTGAAATGTTAAAACTTGTTGAGAGACATATGTTCTTACATGAGATATGATTTCTACAATATAAGGAGAATCACATTCAATTTCATGGGAGAGTATGTCATCCATAGGATTGGGTGCAGATAAATAGAGAAATATACTTTATTGGATGCAGAATTGAAGATTTTAAGGTGACAGATTAAAATCTCCAATTTGGTCCAATTGATTGAAAACTAATGCGAGATTGTTAGCCCTCAAGGAAGGGAGTAGTAGGAGCTCTAGAGTGGCATCCGGTATCCTCCCAGCCTAACCACGGAATTAGGGACCAAATTCTGGATTAACCAAACCAAACTTGAGATTAGTCAATGTTCTTTATAGCACTAGGATGTGGGTAAAGAATAATATTGCTCCTATTTGACACAAAAGAACTTATATATATATTTTCAAATGATTTAAATTTATTCACAATCTATATACTTATTGTAAAGGGGAAAGATGCTTTCTTAAATTTGAAATTTCCATCACAACATAAACTTAGTTTAATTTTCGTAATTTTACTTTTGAAAGTTTAGTATTTAGTTTAATTTGATTTCTGTAGTTTTACATCTGCATTTTAATTAGCATTCACTTGAGTAGTTGATTTTCAAACTTCGCACTTTAATTTTACTTTTATTTTTATTTTTGTTATAAAATAATTTTTATAATTTATTTTAGAATTTTTCAACTTCCTTGTGGGATCGATATCTAGGACTCCATTAGAGTCCTTTATTACTTGAGTGATACGCATATTTACATTATTTTTAAAAGAGAATTTGGCAGGATAAAGAATTTTA